TCTCCGCCGGGCGCTGTGGAGAAGGGATTGGTGTCCAGGAGAGCCGGCAGCAGGGAGTACAGTGTCTGTGGGCGGGAAGGAGAGGTCAGTTCTGCGCGGAATGGCGGCACTATTTATAGGAGGCTGCAGTGACAGGCTCCAGACTCTAGGTGGCAGCACCCTTTACCATAGGCTGCAGTGACGATGGCCGTCCACATGGTGGCAGCAGCATTTACTGAAAGCCTCCTCACAGAGGACGGGCTTCAGGCTTCAGTGGCTCACCTTGGTGAGGTGGTAGACGCACTGCTGGAAGGTGTACATGATGACGTCATCAAGCAGCGCCAGGGCCTCGGCGCAGGTGTCCAGGTCGGCGGAGAGGGCGGGGTCTCCGGGTGCTGGGGGCGGGAGCACAGGGGGATTGACAGGTTACAGGGTCCAATGGCAAGCCAAACGCCAGGAGTCTGTTCGGCTCCTCTGGCTGATCGGGCGGGTGGTAGATATGCTTCCCCACCCAAGAGCAAGGGTGTCACATGCGAATACTGCCAATACCGAGGCCCCGGGTTCGATTCCCGGGGTACTGTCTGTGTGGAGTTCGCATGTTGCATGTGAACAATCTACCACTGCAAATGTACCTCTTGCCACTGGTTACTAAAGCAACAGACGTCTGCCCTCATACTCCTACCACAGGTACTGCTGCTGGACGACACTGTCCTGCCTCACCTTCAAACTCCCACTCATGCTCCATCTCCTCCACTTTGACCTGGAAGAAGTTCAGCAGCTCAGTGGCGTTGGACATCCAGAACATCAGGGGCCGGAGGTCAGAGGCCACTTCCTTAATGCTGGGCGCGCTCAGTTCTGCCCCCTCCGCTGGACTGCAGGACACAGGAAAGAGCGATTTCGGTACTTTCACAACAGCGCGGCCACACGCACAACACTGGAGAGAGGACGGAGGAGGAGATCTTACTTCTCGGCGGGGTGCTTGTCTCCAAACTCCTTGATCTTGTCCTGAGAGAGAGGCGGAGAGGAGAGGGTTAATGCGGTGCCTGACTGACAGACAGCACTAGCCGCACCCAGAGAGCACGAGTGACAGCGAAGGAAGGAGAAGTGCAGGTACTGGAGAGGAAGCGGCAGACAGGTCAACGAGCACCGCTGGACAGACAAGGTGAGAGACTCACCCAGGCGATCGCTTTGATGTGATTGGCTGTCTTCAGGAGAACCTGGGGCAGGAGGACGGGATCAAGCTGCTTGGAGGTGTGATCTATCATGATTGACAGGAGGTATGCAGGTGCCAAGGCACCGCCTCCAGAGTCAGGAGAAGAATTCTTAGAAATAATCTCCTGTGGGAGAGAGAGTATAATATAGAAACTAAAGACACTCCTCACACCCAGGGATTAATACAGATCCTAAAACAGACCCTAGAGACACACCTCACACCCAGGGATTAATACAGACCCTTATACAGACCCTAGAGACACTCCTCACACACACAGATTAATACAGACCCTTATACAGACCCTAGAGACACTCCTCACACACAGAGATTAATACAGACCCTAATATAGACCCTAGAGACACTCCTCACACACAGAAATTATTACAGACCCTAATACAGACCCCAGAGACACTCCTCACCCACAGATATTAATACAGACCCTAATACAGACCCTAGAGACACACCTCACACACAGAGATTAATACAGACCCCAGAGACACTCCTCACA